TTGTTTAATCTGTAGTCTAACGAATATTTCATATCTTTATATCAAATACGATGTTTGTGCACTTTTTCATGGTAGCTCGGCTGAAGCTGGGGTAAAAATATGATTGCAGGGCCCTCAGTGAGAACAATATTAATACCGATAAGGCTACCCTGAGTAAACAAGAATACTTATCAATATTATTATCATTATCATTATCATTATTATCACTAATATTATTATTATTATTATCATTACCATTTTCACACAAATTCTGGCGCAGAGATAATTAAATCACAATGCTCTAGGTTAAGGTGTGGATGGGTTTTTCCACAGAGTGGGATATCAACGGCTGCATTCAATATTTAAACATTTATGTGGAAATCATCAGACTTCCTTTTTTATCCCTAACCCTTCTCTTCTTCTTCTTCTTCTTACATATACACACATACCACATAAACATGAGCTCTTCCACCCCCCCCCCCTCTCTCTCTCTCTCTCTCTCCCTCTCTCTCTCTCTCTCGCTCTCTCTCCCTCTCCCTCTCTCTCCCTCTCTCTTTCTCTCTCTCACTCACTCACTCTCTTCTCCACAAACATACACATATGCATGCCCACGCAAACACACACCCATCCCCTATCTCTCTCGCTCCCTCACCCTCCTCTCTTCCTTCCCTCTTTCCCTCTATGCTTTATCTCATTCATATCTACTTCCCGTCTTCTGACCTGTGGTGTGAAAGCATTTTTCTTCTTTGGTCTGTTGAGTGTGATGGTCGCTATTCCATTCTCCACACGATACAGAATACCTTTCGAGGTTCTTCCGACATTCATTTTGCTGCCTCTTGCTGCTGGATCGTTCTTTACTTCTCCATCCTGAGAAAATAACATACATGCCAGTGAGAGAGTATGAATATTATAATTTAAATAATTTATATATTAAAGTCCCCGAGGGTACAAGGATAAATTTCTTCTCTCAAGTCATGTTTATGTCTTAACGAATTAGGACTGGAATTCTTAAATTTCATGGGTTAATAATATTAATTCATTAACAGCAACTTTGACCCTAACAAAGCTGTAAAACAAACAACAAAATTTTTGAGAAAGGTATACTGGTCCCATAAGCGAATATTATAGAAAGGTGCAGAATTTGTGTAACTTTCATCCAGAAAAACAGAGAAGACATTAATCATCATTTTTTTTTAATACAAGGATAGAGACAAATATTTAACCCCCGTATGGATATTGAATGACGACACATGGTCCGGCGTCAATTATCCTCGGTTGCCAATTTCCTTCATTAACCGAGTTCCTAACCCCAAACACTATACCATACCATAACATGGATCTCCGGGATGAATCTATCAAGGTATCTTCTCCCAGCTCGGAGGTTGTTAGCAGTTTTCCACACGTCTCTTTTCTCTGCCAATCTAGTACACTCTTGCAGTGTCATTCTAATCCATAAATGCATTTCTTCCCCTAGAGTTGGTACATTATACTTTTCACAATACCATAATCCAAACGTTAACCCAAACTAAATCAACATTCCAACCTTAAACCTTTTCCCCATAGATTTAACGAAATATTCCCCGGAGCTGAGCAAGTGCCTGATCACCCACATACCACCTCCTCCTCGGTGGTTTCCTCTGCCGTGCATGAGAACATACCTTTGTCATGATTTTCTGAATTCTATGGCTCCACTAATCCTTGCTCGATGTGAAAATGTAGGCTTATATCAAAGAATATCAGGTGAAGTATTATGCTATATCTACCCCGGTGTTGCCCGCAAACATATTAATAGTGTTTATGGAAGATGAAACCTCAACAATGTGTATTACTCGTCGAATAGACTGTTTATTCACCCTGCATTTTGTATGCCAGGAGACTTTATAGCTGATAACAATATAATTGTATCACTTGACCCGTACTCTGACCATGGACGGTCCACGCTCTGACACTGTGTTAAGTTTGGTCTAAAGTAAACTTAAAGTAAACTGTCGAGGTCAAGTATTTCCTTTATCAAAAAATATTTGGCACCAAAATTAACTGAATACGGATCGGGCGTTTGGGTTTCCTTTTGTTTTGTTTTGTTTTGTTTTATTGTTTCGCATTCCACAAAATAACAGTTTACATATTATTAAGTTCAGCAAGATAAAGTATATTGACAAACAAAAACAATGATGACAGTAAATAATCATTAACGACGTGAAATATGAGGAACCTAATACAGGTATGTGGTTACATAAAGTCATAATAGTCACTCGAGCGAGGCGCAAAAAAGAAGAAACAAAGACATAAATAAATGAAAAATAACGACAACGTGCCTTATGCGTATGATTTCAAGAGAAAGTCTTTGATTTTACGCTTGAATGAATACAGCGAGGGTGATTGAATAGACCAGTTCACGGTTAGCACATTACTGTAATGAACCCGGATATCCACAGATCTTAAAAACATGAAGAGGTCCCATTTTTTACATTTTGAAATAATCACTCCTACAGAGATGGAGGTGCTATATAAAGAGCCTTTGTTTCCCCCTTTTCAAAGTATACTTCCACCTATGTATCATGGCGTACACTGAATGTGCATGAATCAATAATGTTACATAGCTTTCATGAGCACGTATCCACATTTCGTCTCCCGTGTATTTCAAAATTTGTTCTGCAATGACCTTTATCTGCTCATGCTCAGACTGCGACCGTGAACTGGCTTATTATCTCAGCGTCCAAACTGTTCCAAAATGAAGGTCATGTGTTGGTTATTGTTTTAAAGGCAAGAACGGTGCGTACGGGGGATAGATGAAAATTGAGGGATTGCCTGGTGGGATAAGAATTAATGTCACTATTTTTAAAAAAAAATCGTCTATATTAAGTTGAAACATAAATATCCCTACAAATATAGTTCTGTTACTTTCAATAACTTGTAAGAAAGAAATAATGGATTTGTATGTGCCAAAACATCGGCAGAAGAAATAATCCTTACAGCTCTTTTTTTTTGTATTTTGAGTATGGAATCAATTTTCGTCTTGGAAGAATTACCCCCAAACTAATATTCCGTAACTTAGGTATGGTAATAATAACGTAAAATATAATCATTTCAAAATATGGGGAGGAAAATGATGTTTGAGTTTATTGGTAGCTCCTAGATTTCTTGAAAGCAATTTTCATAAGTAGTCGATATGGACTTTCCATGTTAATTTACAATCAATATTAAATATAAAGACCAATAATTTTGAAGAGTCAATTTAACTCATTGCCATTCATGAAAACATCGCCAGGTAAAGTATGCAGTGAATCACTAAAGACCATGTAATTTGTCTTTTTGAAGTTAAGAGATAACTTATTTGGTTGAATCCAATCGCATACAAATCGTAATTCAGAATTTAATTTATCAAGAAGGATTTGAGGATTATCGTGAGTAAAAAATATGCTTGTGTCATCTGCAAATAAAAGAAAAGAAAGTTTATTAGAAGAGTTTTGAAAATCATTGATGTATAATATAAAAAGAAGTGGGCCCAAAAGGGAACCTTGAGGTACATCGCAAGTGATGTGTTGAGTTTTAGAATTTAAATTATGAATAGACACAAATTGATTCCTGTTTGCAAGATAACTTCTGAACCACTCCAAGGCCCTTCCACGAATTCCATAGTAAGAGAGTTCATATAAAAGTATTTCATGGTTAATCGTGTCAAAGGCCTTGGAGAAGTCCGGAAAGATACCAGCAACGTGAGACCTCTTATCAATTGCCTTAGTAACTTTATCTATTAATAATATTATTGCATGCACAGTTGACTGTTTTTTACGAAAACCGAACTGGGAATTGATGAAAATATTAATTGGTGAGAAACTTTATAGTGCGAGAATAAATTATCTTTTTCGAGGACTTTTGAGAATGAAGTCAACAGTGATATTGGACGATAATTACCTAATTCATCCTCTGAACCTTTTATGTAGATGGGTATTACTTTAACGACCTTCATTTTATCAGGGACAACACTAGACAGCAAGGACAAAGCTAATGAAGATATCAATAGAAATTGAATTATTCTTATTTTCATTTAAACATTCTTAAGACAACCGTTTAATCAATACATTAATGATTTCATTGATCAAACAATTTATTGTTCCATTCTAATAGTGAATCATAAATACAGAAAAGCAAAGCGGATTAAAATTATTTTGAATAGATTCTTTTCAATAATATATAGATGAACTAGAGGGAAAATACCAACAGATTGTAACAGTCAGTACCTCATTTAATCATTGCCTACAAGTAGACGCTAGCAATCATTAACTAAAAATCAAAAATTGCCAGACTTGGTAAGTCCAAAGAGCATTACTTCATATCTACCTTATAGTCACGACAGCGAGATATCAAAGTAGAAAAAGAACAGTGTATTGACATGGATAGTGCTACTTTGGAAATGTGAAGGAAATTCTTTCAAATTATTTAAATCACATTTTTTTCTACTCTCCATAAAATTGTTTTGGTTCCTTAGATGTATTGTCTAGAAAATAATCTGTAACAAGAACACGAAGGATGTGTATGGATGTTAATGACAGCCATGATGTGATCATTAGATTTTTACTACATGTTTCACTCAAATCCATTTGTTCCCTCAGTATACATGGTATATAATTTTCGTCATAATTACCTATCTTTCTTTCTTTTCCCTTATATTTTGGTTGTCCGCCCATCTCTCTTTCTCTCTCTCTCTCTCTCTCTCTCTCTTTCTCCCCCTCTCTCTCTCTCTCTCTCTCTCTTCCCCCCTCTCTCTCTCTCTCTCTCTCTTTTTTCTTCTCTCTACCCCTAATTCTGTCCATTCAGAAATGCATGGTATTATGCTCTGTATCTGACCAGGTGACGATACTATGGTTCTAATCATTCACATACCCTTGGCCTTTAAACCTACAGAAAACCCTTATAAACACTGCACATAATGTATACGCTCCCCTCCCACTCTCTTTCTTTCCCTCTGTTTTTGTTTAACACGTACTTTATATTGGCACACCATTCTTTGTTCAAATTTGTACTCTTGCAGCATTTTCGATTTTTCTTCCATTTCTTGCATACGGATAATCATCAATTAATTTACAGTAACACGTTCTACTTCTAAGACTTTATGTTTGACACGATTGAAGAGACTTTTGAAAAATCAACCATGAATCAAACATGATTTCTGAAGGCAATACAATAGGGTATTGGAATTTCATGTAAGCCGTTTTCTTGAAAATACTTGTGATCGAACTATTGTCTAAATGGTACAGCACCTAAGCATAGCATTGCATTACGAAATAATTTCTGATATCTAAGCTTATTTTATAGACTCAATAATGATAAATCATTCATATTATGTCTAACGAGCTTTTCCTATCCTAAGAAAGTTAAAAGAATACCCAACTCATAAATGGTAGTTTTGTCAATATTTTATGTACTAAAGTACTACTTGTAATTAACGGGCATAAACAATTTTATGCTAATGGTAACCGTCAGATAAGGTATTGCTACTTAAGACAGAATATTGTTCCAACCGTAACGTTCATCTCATTGGCGCACAATTAAGTTGACAACAATTCAATCACGTATGGTCAGCGTTCTATTACTCACTGTGAAGACAAATATACCATGGAAATAGGTCAAAAAGAGACCATTAATACCATGTTTTGATAATTCTATATTTTGCATATTTTAAAGATATTCTGACTGGTTTTGATAAAGTAGCATTTGTAAAAGTTAATTTTTGCATCACCATTTTTTAAATGAAAAATACTTAAGAATATATATCTTCAAAATTTAAATTTAAAAATTTAAAAATAAGTATTTAGATAATAAAAAGCGAAAAAATTAATTGAATCAGGACATATTACTGAGAAAAAAAACAGTGGCACACTTGCTTATAAACTTTTTTTGCAATATACTGTTGAAAATGTTCTTCCTTTTTTGCTCTTCATTCCATCTTGCCCTTCTTCTCATTACTTTTCTTATAACAATCCATTTGAATATCGATGTCGTCATTCCCGTATATTTACATCCTGCATATTCTATATAAAGGTAAAACTGTTTGAATACATCAACGAAATGATTTATCGAATCGAATTGCTTTTAATTATTTAATAATTTATTATAGCTCGTGGCTTTAACCATATTTGGAGGAAGTCATTTAAATATGTGAATGGGACAAGGTGGGCAGTTTCAACTTGTCGCTCTCCTTCTTCAAGCCGGGTCCATCCAAGCCTGGGACAGTCAAAGTGAAATTCCCTCGAACAGAAGTGAACGTCTGACCGATGGACTGGAAGAGGGGGTCCAGAGAGGACCGGAGCACACCCCTAGCGAGTACCTCCACGATCCTACAAGCCTGTAGGATGACCTTAAGAGCGGGATTGACCAACCAGACCAGGATGAAGTTCATGATGGCGAAGACCAAACCCCAAGCAATGCCCAAGATGGGACCAAGGAGTGCGGAGAGGAAGATGTAAAATCCCCTCTGTTTCAAAATAAAGGGATTAAAACATTGTCGTTTGTCGTGTTTTGAGGAGGCAAAACGGTTTAAATCAGTTAATAGTGTTTAATGACTAACTGGAAGAAATGCACTTGCTTTTCGAAATCATTTTTTTTTTCTCACAATATCAGGAATGTAACAAACATTGAAAACAATTGTAGGCGTTATGATAACTTTGAACTTGGAAAATTCGAATTTAATCAGCAAAATATTAATATCACGCTTAATTATTGACACAATAATGTATGTTGTGCAAAATTGTTATGCTTTCTTTCGTCTGTAATTGTTATTGAAGATTCTTTGACCTAAAAGGCTTAGCTAAAACATATTTTAAGAACACCCTGACGAAAGCTGGTTCGTGTTGGGAGTTTTAATCAACACAGTACAACAAAAGTTATTTATCAAGTAAGTTTCTGACAGGTTAGCCTACACGGTAAAATTTAGTTATACATTTAACGTAAAATAGAATTGATGGAAAATTCTGATTTCCCCTTTGAATAAGAAGAAACTCACCGATGTCCAATTGAAGATGACCTTGTTGTAATTCCAGACAACACTCACATTTTCTGAACCAAGTGGCTCTTGAAAGGTCTCCTCAAAATCAACCTGAAATAGACCGTTTTTGATTTCAAGAAAATTCATTATTGATGGATTTCATATATTTCCACGTAATCATTTTTTAAAGTTTTCAGTACAATATCTTCAACATTATTAGTTTATAAATACATAGGAAATATAGCAAAATAAGTTTGTTCGTTTAAGTAAAGAACTTTTAGCTTTTCTTTGAAGCAACTTTGTGATATTCATGTTTTGATTATTCAGATACCAATTTCCTCATTTCAAACACTAGGTTTCAAAGCGACAGGAGCATTGAAATAAAGTGAATATTCATCAAAGTCATATCTAAACAAAGTTACGTATCTAGAAATTCATACACATATAATGATAATGGCAATAATAATATTAATGATAATAATAATTGTTCCACGTTTTCGAAGCAGCCACTGTAAAAACGTTGACGGTAGATTAGAATCTGGATTTGGTAATAATCAGTTTATATTTGTCAGTTGTTGAGCGATCGTTACAAGCTGGCGCATATATTTGGGGGTGTCATTAAGATAATTAACTGTCATATGATTTAGAATTTTGAAGAATTACAAGCAGACTTTAAAAAAAGGTAAGAGGACACTTTTTTTTTTTTTTTTTGGTATCGAAATTTGAAAATTTGACATTTTGCTCCGTTGGGGGGGGGGGTAAGGTCATCTTTTTGAGGTCGGCCATGGGAATATTTTTTTTTTTTTTAATTAAAAAAAAAAAAAAAAAAAAAATCTAAAAGGGGTGGGTTTTAGGGAAATTTAGGGGGGTTTACACACAAAAATTTACCAAAGGGGGGGTTTAACCCCCAAACCCCCCCCCCCCCTGTGTACGCGCCTGAGGACAATAGTAGCATTACTTAATGAACAATAACACATGTCATGAAGCTGTGAAAGAGAGGATGAATGAACACCTTATTTTAAATTCTCACCTTTACATTTGGCTTGAGAGAGTACAAGTTCATATCGTCATACTTTGCCGTATTTGGTGCTCGCTCTAAGGCTCCATGACAACATGGTCTAGCTTGGGCCTGGGCCTGATAGCCCGAGGTATTGTTGTTGTAGAGGGGGTAATACTGGCCACCCTGAGAAATCAAATAAGTCGTGGCTGGAGTACCAACCAAGTGCTCATTCTGAGGTGGATTGTCCTCCATAGTAGAGTTGACAGACATGGCTGAAGTTGGCTGTTCCTGCTAAAAGATAGGGAACGCCATAATTCGTTAAACCCTATGATTTTTAAGGCAAATCAATAAAGATGTTACATAAAATGCGTAAATAAGCATGATTGAATAATTTTATTTTCCATGGCTTGATTTTAAAAGTATCTCATAATGAAAGTTTTGGAGAATCAAATGCGACTTACCGAAACTATAATGAAGACAAGAAGACGACACAAAGCAGAGTGTAGCGGATCGCTTATATCTCTAACCTCTCTCTCATCATCAACGCGGATTTTATCACCAAACAAAGATCCATTTACGTCATACGAATCAACTAGTTCACAATAGGGTTTTGGTAAATCTATGTCAGCGAGTAATTAACCATGTTTTCGAACTAGACCAGAGTTGTTTGCATAGTTGTGTAATAAGGAGTAGATTTTCGAGACAAAGATAAATGAACAAAATATGTATAAATTAATGGCAACTTGACTTATAAACATTTGAATATTTCCCCTATAGAATAGAGCCCAGGTACCCTAAATACTAAGTGGAACGGACCCATTACCTCTGTCACCTTAAATAGATTTTTTTGGACGAATCCAAACATGTATGCATGTACTTTGTTTCGGTCTTGCAAGGGGAAACAGAAATGTAAATATATGATTGACGCCGAAACAAGGAGCAAAGATCTATTAGGTTTATGCCCGATTAGAGGGAGCTCATTAGCATATTTAACCTATTGACGAAGATTAAATCAACATGATATGTTTAATGGATTTCATTCAGAATCAATCTTGGGTTATTGTTCTTCGTGTTAATTCTGCTACAACAAAAATCAATGAATAATAGAAACCATCTTTTTATCAAAACGGATAGCATGGCTTTTACTTGCGATAAAGTTATGAGTATTTGATGTGTAGATATTAATATGATATGGGTAACGACACACCCATCCACACGCCCAAAACTGTACACACGAACATACATATGCCCCCCCCCCCCCCCGGGGGGGGGGGGAAGCATCTTTTTTGGGGGGTCCAATTTTTTAGGAAAAATTTATCGGCGACTTAGCCAGTCGGTGAATAAGCAATAAGCGGGGGGGGGGGGGGGTAAGAGCACTATTTTTGCCTTTTTTTTTTTGACCGGGGGGGGGGCAGGCCCGTCGCCCCCTGGATCCGCGCCTGCCCATATTATACAATAGTATTCAAGGCACATGGATCGAATTGGGTTTAATAACTGAACTTTGGCAATTCAAAACGTTTCTCTAGATAACTCCAGTGATCTTGCTGCATTTAATGTATGTCTCGTTACAATTTAGATTCTCAACAATCGTAAAACCCAAATATTTGTCAGACCTAGTGACATTCAAATCTTGTCCATTAATGAAAACAGAATGACAGAGATACTGAATACCATCAATTTTAAATAAATGTATTTGATATGATATAAAAACAGAAAATCATTAGTAACACTGATTATTTTCACCGATTTGTAATTGATTGATAGAGATTAATAATTTTAATCATGATCAGGCCTACAAAGCAACCTCACTGTATTCGTGGCAACTAAGCCAGTCTGGTTGTAATTTGAATGATTGCTCTGTGAAAATTGTTAAGATTGCACTGAAAACAGTAGAAACAAGTGGGAAGAACAAAAAAGGAAATGAACCAGTTAACCAGTATATTTCTATTTTCGGAGAAATAATCGTTAAAAATACGCCCCAAAAAATACCTTGGAAAAATTTCTGACATTTGGTTCTGTTTTGAAAAAAAAACACTCACTATTTCTCCAGCGACTCAACCTCTTTCGCTCCAACTATCTCTCTTCTTCACACCGACTTGTTAAACTTTTTCACTTCTCTCTTCTCAACTGATTAATTTGTTCATAAAAAACGGTTATATTCTGTTTTATTTCGTTGTTGCTGGTTGGATAGTTATATTTCTGCAGTCACATTTACACACAATTTAACACCATTCCTTTTAGAAACTGCTCCCAAAGACTATGATAGTAAGCGACAAAGTAAGCGACAAATTTCATTCTAGTTTCATAATTTCTTGTTTACTGAATTATATATTTTTTTTAAATCGTCGATGAATTATTCCACTATCCTTATCTAACAGTTTCATTCACTTTGAAGAATTAGAATAAAATCATTTAGCAACAACATCAGTACGTAAAAAGTGAATACTTAGTAATAACAATAGTTGAATACAATCAAATAATAGCAAAGAAGGTGGATTTATATAGCGCATATTTAATTGAAGAGTCTCTTTAGGCATATCAAAATGTAATTACAACAAGGACAAAGTACAATTCAATGGCTACAAAGTCTAAAACCTTGGCTTCGTATAAAATAATCATGTGATAAACTGCATTACGATATAAATAATGCAAATAATAGAGGCCACAAGTCACACAAACAATATTGCAGTAACTGTTTAAAAATATATATACAAATTTGATTGCATGAAATGAGTAAATCTACCATAAAAACAAAGGCAATTTCACAAGGGAACCAAAAGTAAAAACACAGGTCAGTGGCGGATCCAGGGGGGGGGCCGAAACGGCCGCGGCCCCCCTATTGGCGGCGTAAAGAAAAAAAGAGAAAAAAAAGAAAGGAGAAGAGAAGAAAAAAAGGAGAAGAGAAAAGAAAGGAGAAGAGAAAAGAAAAGAGAAGAGAAAAGAAAGAAGAGAGAGAAAAAAAAAAGGAGAAAAGGATTCAGCTCATACCAACTCGCTTGTGCTTATATCTGAACTCATGTTGATAGTAATCATGGACAGGGGCGGCGATCCTGGGCCCGATAGAGGGACACATCCCCCTGGAAATTTAGATATATAGCTAGAAAGAAATATACATGTAGCAGAAGGAACGTAAATATTGGGCTTAGGGATTTTCTAGAATGCATAATTTCAGCATTCTACATTGCAAAATCTCGCTTGGTCGCTACGCCCCGGCCCTCGCCCGATAACACAAAACTATGATATGACACTCCCGGTGGTGGATATTCCATGGTTGGTGTATAATTCTAGTAGATATTTTTCCCTCTTTCATTTCTACTGACCTAATTGTGTGCTATCACAATCATGATTGTTTCATTTTCCCTTTAAATCATGCGTAGCTAGGAGCGGTAGGGGCAGGAAGAGGACATAGGACGAAAAAGGACCAGACAAAGAAACATTTTTTTAAATTCTGACAAGTCGAGAACGGTACAACAAATCGTCTTCTTTCTCTAATAATTTAATGAAACGTTAAGCTTCTGTGCTTCGCGCTGGAGGGGGAAACTGAATTCAGAGAAGGATTAAGAGTCGAGAATAGAACAACGAATTATCTTCTTTCTCTAATAATGTCATTAAACTATGAAAGGTCAAAGCCTTCGCGCCTCGTGCGGAAGGGGGAAATTAATTCAAATAAGGATTAAGAATCGAGAATGGTGACAACGAATCGTCTTCTTTCTCTAATAATTTAATGAAACGTCAAAGCTTCCGCGCTCAACGCAGAAGGGGGGAAACTGAATTCAGAAAATGATTAAGAATCGAGAACGGTACAACGAATCATCATCTTTCTCTAATGATTTAATGAAACGTCAAAGCTTCCGCGCTTTGTGCGGGAGGGGGTTGGGAAACTGAGTCCAGACAATGATTAAGAATCGAGAACGGTACAACGAATCGTCTTCTTTCTCTAATAATTTAATCAAGCGTTAAGCTTCTGCGCTTTGCGCTGGAGGGGGAAAACTGAATTCAGACAAGGAATAAGAGTCGAGAATGGTACAACAAATCGTCTTCTTTCTCTAATAATTTAATCAAGCGTTAAGCTTCTGCGCTTTGCGTGGGAGGGGGGAAACTCAATTAAAACAAGGATTAGGAGTCGAGAATGGTACAACGAATAATCTTCTTTCTCTAATAATTTCATTAAACTATGAAAGGTCAAAGCTTTGCGCGGGAGGGGGGAACTGAATCCAGACAAGGAATAAGAGTCGAGAATGGTACAACAAATCGTCTTCTTTCTCTAATAATTAATGAAAGGTCAAAGCTTTCGCGCGGGAGGGGGGGGGGAACTCAATTCAGACAAGGATTAGGAGTCGAGAATGGTACAACAAATTATCTTCTTTCTCTAATAATTTCATTAAACTATGAAAGATCAAAGCTTTCGCGCTTCGCGCGGGAGGGGGAAAACTGAATTCAGACAAGGAATAAGAGTCGAGAATGGTACAAAAAATCCTCTTCTTTCTCTAATAATTTCATGAAACATCAAAGCTTCTGCGCTTCGCGCGTAATCGGGGGGGGGGGGGGGGGGGGGGGGGGGGGGGAACCTTGAGCTGCCCGAATATGAATTTTGTATATCTTTTTCTCGTATATATTTTGGTGATAAATAACACTTTCACAAAATACATATTATCCTCAAATTTTTTGCTCGCTCGCTTCGCTCACTAGCCGAATTGTGAAACCAGAAAATTACCTTTTCGGGTAAGAGGCTTCAGCCCTCCCCCCCCCCCCCCCCCCCCCCCCCCCGATGAAAATGTCAAAAATTGTACCGGTATGGTGCTTCTAATATGACCTTGTCAGTATTGGTATGTTGAGTTGAAAAACGGTCTGCGCAATTTTCAAATTTCCGGCCCCCCCCCCCCCCCCCCCCCTATTAGAAAATCCTGGATCCGCGCCTGCCCCACACTTGACTTATTCTATCATATCTGATTACGTTTTCATCTCTAAGGTTCATATGTATATGAGAGATTCGAGTCATGTGCACTGATAAAGATTTGGGATTTTTAAAGGAACAGCCATTTGTTCTATTACTAGAGGGTCATCAAAATAACATATTCTCTTTTCATGAGAAACAATGCATTTAAAAAAATTATTTGGTAACACATTTTATCATCATTTGAAAAAATAGTGTGCAAACATTCTAGATATAACCAAAGAAATTGCTAGAACAGTTACACCGAGGACAATTAATAATCTAAAATAAACGCACTAGGAAAAACAGATTGGGGGCTTTGTCCCTTCCTAGTTTCTGGAGTGAGATTCTTTAATTTTCTGAACATTTTGATACGGCCCGAAGATCAATATATGAAGCATATCTTACTACATGACCCGGTCCTGCTATTCAGAAGGAGGAAGAAAACAAATATGAAAGAAGTAACATATTTGCCCGTGGATCGATCGTTCCTAAGCTCTTCTTTGGTTATTCATTATTCCTTCAGTATTATTTTCGCCAACGTCTTGCTTAGTTTTAAACATTTCATTTGTTTTCCAAATCTAGGAGTAGGCCTATGTTATTTCCAAGT